CATCATCATCATCATCATCATCATCATCATCACCATCATCATCACCATCATCATCACCATCATCATCATCATCACCATCATCATCACCACATCATCATCATCATCATCATCACCATCATCATCATCACCATCATCATCATCACCATCACCATCATCATCATCACCATCATCATCACCATCACCATCATCATCACCATCATCATCATCAGGCTCAAACACAACCTGTGGAGTTTTTAACAGTTTTCAGTGTTTGATCCAAAATGAAAATCTGATGCTGTGATGTCATCGACATTCATTTATGATAAAAAATAAACACATCACATTCAAACCTGAAATGACTTCCAGCAGGCTCAAAGAATGACTCAGCAGATTTTAGTAGAAACTTTGACTTACTTCAAGAAAAGAAGTAAACAGCAGAGTGTGGGATGCGTGTCGGATCATGATGTGATATTACTGTGATTTTAAACATGTGCTGAGTATTGAGATCAAATATATTGTGACCTGTTCATCGTCTGTTTCATCTGATCACATGATGTTTTCAGCCTGCAGCAGTAACATGAAGCTGTTGGACTGAAAAATCACCTGATTATATTCTTCTAGTCACTGCCTGAAGTTGAATCTGTCTTTGTAATATAAATAGTTTATATAACAAAACAATGTGTGATGACATCATACTGCCACATCAAAATACTGAGCTGTACTGATTTGTTCCCTAACAAACTGTAAATCTGATTTCTTCTCACGACACCACAGACTGTGAGTTTAATACTGACTGAATACAACATGACTGTGACACACATGCATGTTAGCATGACCAAGCATGTTAGCTGCAGTAGCAGTAGCTCACAGGTTGTTTGTTCAGTGCTACTGAGGATTCTGTTGGGCCGCTCTATACAGATCTTACCGTGAGTAAGACGGTAGAAAAGACAGGAAGCTGCGCAAAATCAGCAGCAACACGTCATGACACGCCTCTTTGAGGCAGTTCTTGTACCACCTCGTACGAACTCAGAGGACCATTTGAGTCTTCATGTGAATGACTGCTTTCTTGGAGGCATCCATCTTTGTTTATGTTAAGGTCGTAAATGGTACATACACAAACGGGGACGCATATCGCCAATTTAAACAGGAAGTTACAACATTTTACGAAATCATCTTGAGTCTCACCGCTTGTAGCAAACGTAAATGGATCACACAGTAACTGCACTTTGTAAAACTAGCTTAGCTCTGAAGAAGCACACTGATGTCAGAGGGCTGTGATTGGTTGATTGCGGTGTTGGTCCAGGAGCAAGTCCTACTGGGCAAAATCACGCCATGTGCTGTTTTCTGCGTGTTAGCGGAGCCATTACAGTTATTTGTATTGTTTCTGTGTTGTTTTTATCTTTTATGGACAAATGTGAAAAATAAAGCTGCAGCAGCTTCTTCTGGAACAGACCAAGTTAAATCATCAGATGATGTCATCTCGTATCGATCACAGGACCCTGAAACACATCGAATCAACATCGTGACAGACTTTGTGATATCAACAAACATCGTGTCGTTGTCCACAGAATCGGTATAATATTGTGTTGTGATGAAAGCAGTGTGTCAGCTGCTGTCAGCTCTAGAGTCGTCTCCTCTGGTCTGAATCAGGGACTCATGTTGTTCCAAAGTTGTATAATTGCCTAGATTTGGTTCGTGTTCTCTTCGTCTGTAACCGGACCAAGACCACCTCTTCAAGAAGGTCTCAGTCAAGTTGATGTGTTCACACCTGCACAAACCAACGTGACCAAACAGGACAGGTGTGAACGCACCTGATAACAACAGATCTGAGGACACGGTCACAGCTGAGACGTCTCCGTGAACAACAACCACCTGTCATGGCTCCAAACAACCACGAAGACGTCAGCTTTTATCTGTTTCCATGGTTACTGTTCAAAACAGCTGATCACAAACTGGTGTATGTCCGTGTTCAGACTCACCTGAGTCCCTGTGGAGGGGACACCTGGGGGACAGACACCAGGTCGAGGGACAACTGGGGGAGGGACACCTGGTCGAGGGACATCTGGGGGAGGGACGCCCGGTTTAGGGACACCTGTGGAGGGGACACCTCATCGAGGGACATCTGGGGGAGGGACGCCCGGTTTAGGGACACCTGTGGAGGGGACACCTCGTCGAGGGACAACTGGGGGAGGGACACCTGGTCGAGGGACATCTGGGGGAGGGACGCCCGGTTGAGGGACACCTGTGGAGGGGACACCTGGGGGAGGGACACCCGGTTGAGGGACACCTGTGGAGGGGACACCTGGGGGAGGAGCTCTGTGAAAGGCATTGGAGGCTTGGGAGGAGCATCAACAGTCCCCTCCTCCTCTTTGTCCTCTGCAGGAGCTCCTGGACTCTGGCAGGTGGACTTCCTGTCTGATGTCTGCTGGACACCTGACCTGCCTGTCTGTCCCACGTCAGGCTGTGATTGGAAAGGAGATGAGGGGGCGGAGCCGTCTTTTCTCTCTGCAGCCAATCGAACCAGCTCCTGAGAGACAGACAACAACACAGCTGCTGAGACAGACAGAGGACAGTTTGTCCCCACAGTGTCAGTCCATCATCCGTCCTCACCTTCACCCCGTCCAGCACCGCCCTGATCACAGTGGTAACGCTTGCTGTAGACTCTTTGTTGCCGCTGACGACGCCCTGCAGCATCACCTGATCAGCCCAGCGAATCAGCTCAGCCAGAGAAGAGTAGAGACGAGTGAGACAGGAAGAGACAGTCTTACTGCAGAGAGGACAGACGGGGTCAGGAGACACGTCACCCCACTAAGGTTCAGGGTCAAAGGTCACCAGGTGTCACCTACCTGTTGTGCAGGTGTGGCTCCAGCTGGACCAGAGTCTGGACTGCCTCCAGGACGCCACCAGAGGCTCCGCCCAGCAGACCGCCCACCACACACTGGTCCTGGACCAGTTTGTCCACTTCCTGTCTGTCCACTCCCAGTCTGTCCACCAGAGCCTTGAAGTACTGCAGAGAGCTGATGACAGCCCGCTGCTGGTCCGCCAACACGCCACCGTCCTGACGTGCACACACACACACACACACACACACACACACACATCTTTGACATGTCCCATCAGCTCACTGATGATGTCACAGTGATGTCATCACACTGCAATAGGTATATCGATTTAATCTAAGTAACACTCTTAAACCATGTGACCTGAAGGAATCGACCCGCCGCACTGTTCTGTGTCATTTAATTCAGAGTTACTGTAAACAACTGATGACATCATCACCGTCTGATTAAAAACGCCTCTGTTTAGAGGCTCAAAATAAACACACAGTCCAGGTGCATCATGGTCTACCTGTGTGTACCTTGGACTGCAGTGTGTAGTTGTGAGTGTGTGCAGTGTGTAGCAGTGTGTAGTTGTGAGTGTGTACAGTGTGTAGCAGTGTGTAGTTGTGAGTGTGTACAGTGTGTACAGTGTGTAGCAGTGTGTAGTTGTGAGTGTCTACAGTGTGTACAGTGTGTAGCAGTGTGTAGTTGTGAGTGTCTACAGTGTGTACAGTGTGTAGTTGTGAGTGTGTACAGTGTGTAGCAGTGTGTAGTTGTGAGTGTGTACAGTGTGTACAGTGTGTAGCAGTGTGTAGTTGTGAGTGTCTACAGTGTGTACAGTGTGTAGCAGTGTGTAGTTGTGAGTGTCTACAGTGTGTACAGTGTGTAGTTGTGAGTGTGTACAGTGTGTAGCAGTGTGTAGTTGTGAGTGTGTACAGTGTGTACAGTGTGTAGCAGTGTGTAGTTGTGAGTGTCTACAGTGTGTACAGTGTGTAGCAGTGTGTAGTTGTGAGTGTCTACAGTGTGTACAGTGTGTAGTTGTGAGTGTGTGCAGTGTGTAGCAGTGTGTAGTTGTGAGTGTGTACAGTGTGTACAGTGTGTAGCAGTGTGTAGTTGTGAGTGTCTACAGTGTGTACAGTGTGTAG